TCCCAAATTTCTGGAGAATGAGGCCCAGAAATCAGGATTTTAAAAAGATTCCCAGGTGATTCTAATGTGCAGCCAAAGTTGAGAACCACTGATTTAATGAATGAACCGGCAAGGAGAAAGGGGGAGAGGAGGCCAGCAGCACCAGGGTAAAATGCCCCTCCTCCCATGGCGACAGCTCAGCCTATTGAATTCCCAGATAGCTAACCCCAGCTCCGACCTCAGCATGTGCCCTCCCACCTCCAACCACTCCCGTCCTGGCTGCTCCTCCACCCGCTTCCAACCGGACTGGTAGTGCCCAAAATCCCTCCTTTGTTGGCCCGGTAGAGCCCACACTTCTGTGAATTCACCCATAAAACCCACTGGGAACTGAGTTGGAATCTTGGCTCTATTATTTATGATGTGACCATAGGAAAGTCACGTCTCTGAGTCTCAGTTTATGCATCTGTAAAAGGGGACGAATAAGAACCAGGGTAAGGTGTCATGAGTCATAGAAACTCCATCTCCCATCCTGGCCAGTGTGGCTCAATTGGTTGAGTGTCGTCCTATGCACCAAGAGGTCACCAGTTCGATTCCTGGTCAGGGCACATGCCTGGCTTTCCGGTTCAATCCCCAGGAGGCAGCCAATTGATATTTCTCTCTTCTTCTCCCTTCCTCTCTCTCTAAAATCAATAAAACGTATTTTTTTTTAAAAAAAGAAGAAAAAGGAAAGAAACTCCACCTCCCTATTTGTAAACTAATTAGGCAATGCTAGACTTATTTCGATTTATTTTCAAGCACTGTATTAAGCACTAAGGACCCAGAGATAAATAAGAAACCATTTCTATTGCCAAGTTTCTTCTACCTTAATTTTCCCTGGCTTAGGACATGTTTCCCCATCACTGAAAAAAAAAATCAACGCATGGGCTCAATGATGAACTTCAGCAAATGCATGACTAAAGAAAGGGGACATGGTCGGCTCAGTCACAGAAGCATAGCCGTGTGTGTTCCTCAGATGTGTGGGAGGTAACGTCATGGCATCAAGAAAATCCTCAGCAGAGGTTTCCACAGCCTCCACTTTCTGGAGAAAACAGAAGCCAACAGGAAACTACTGCTGACATATCTGTTCCTTTTTTAAAGCTTCATGTCTGCTCCTTCCCATCTTTGTGAAATGTGTTACCCTGACACGCTGAGATTCTCTGAAACACACGTGTGGAAACGGGTCTTTCTTCTTCGCTGTGGCCGTGGGGGAGAGGATTTAAGTGGGCGTCTTTTTCAAAAAAAAGACGACCTGTCCCGGGCACAGGTGTCTCCTGTGGGCCACCTGGATGTGAACGCAAGTGAAGAAAGGCTTGGCCTAGGGTCACTTCTGCCGTGTCCTCCAGCTCGGCTCTGGGGCAGCCAGACACCGCCCCAGGAAGGAGGTGGGAGAGGCTGGGCTGCTGGCCTGTCCTTGGGATTCCTGCGGCTCAGTCACCTGTAGAGTAACGTCCAAGTCACGTGGCTTAGCCGGTTTTTCCTTTAATCCCTTTCACATTTGTCCTCAGCTTTGAAGAATGCCTGGGGATGATTCACCCACCATCACATGGGGCAGGCAGTCATCTGTTTTATGACCTCACCCGGCTTGCAGCTTCTGGAAGATAACCTGGGATTCTTTTGTTGGGGGGTGGGGTCGGGGATGGAGGTAAGAAGGGTGGACGAACAGACCAAGGCTTCAAGGAGGCAGTTCCTGCTCTGGTTTTGCTTTCCTGCTCCCCAGCTCAGGTCTTCAGGGTCCAAAGGTACAAGCCATTTGGAAGAGGCCAGGGCTTGGGCACCTGGGCTAGGGAGAGAGTTGAATTTGTCAGTCTAGAAGAAGGTGCTTTCCCTTCACCAGTGAGGCAAACGGTGAGGAGGCTTGATTGCAAAACAAGACAAAAACAAAATCAGTCATTCGGAGGGTTGTCACAAGCAACCACGTACACTGTTCAGGAAGGGGAATTGGAAGGGCATCATGGGCTTGTGTTGGGAAGAGAAAACACTTCATCGCTTCACGTTTCTTTTTTTTAATATATATTTTATTGATTTCAGAGATGAAGGGAGAGGAAGAGAGAGATAGAAACATCAATGATGAGAGGAAATCATTGATTGGCTGCCTCCTGCACACCCCCTACTGGGGATCGAGCCCGCAACCTGGGCATATGCCCTTAACCGGAATCGAACCCAGGATCCTTTAGTCCGCAGGCCAACGCTCTATACACTGAGCCAAATCAGCTAGGCCCTAGGCCGCTGGAGCATCGCTTCACGTTTCATTGGGGTATGCTTATTAGCAGGCATCGGAGCTCGGAATGTACCAGCATCTTGTGCTGTGTGGGCCCAGGTGTGCTGAACAAGGGAGGGGATCCCATGTTTGCGGTCTCAACTCCTCAACAGAGAAGACCCACCATGGCCTGGGATGATGGCTCACTGCTGATGCCAAGCCCTCTGCATCTCTCCTCTCCTTTAGCCCTTTCAACAGGCCTGCTGAGTCTGGATTATTATGCTGTTTTCCAGACCTAAGACTGAGACTAGGGTTGAGCAAAGTTACTCAAGGTCAAAGGGCTAGAACATAGGGTGGATTTGGGACCCAACCAGACTGACTCCAGAGCTTTTGCTTCTCACCCCCAAAAATTATGAAGCAAGCTTCAACAGAGACCAGCATTCATCAGCACCTATAATGTTTCAGATCCAGGAGCAGGTCCAGGAGCTGCAGAATAGTCAGTCCTCATTCAACATCGTCCATAGGTTCTAGGACTTTAAACGGAACAAGGAATAATGAAACCAATTTGCCGAGAGTTAAGTGCCTACAGCCTCCATGTAGCAAAACGCCATTGAACAATATGGCAGTATTCGAGGACCCGCTATAATGGAAACAGAAAAAGAAAGTATAAGTTAATGTTAGAACCCGAGTGCTCTAGTCAGACAGAGCTGGGTCTATTTATTAGCTTGGCCAATAGGAGAGCATCTCAGAACCTCAGTTTTCTCATCAGTGGAATGGGTATAATAAGTAGCATTCCCTGCGCCAGAGGGTTGTTGTGAGGATTAATTTAGCTCACGTATGTGAAGCACTTAGTACCATGTTGGCTTTCCGTTTGAATTACTGTTCTAATCACTCGTGGGAGGTTTTTAATATAGTGAAGTCATGGTCCAAGCAGAGGAAGTGTAGAGGGCTGTGGGAATTCCCCATGAAAAGATGAGGAACTTGCCGAAACCGGTTTGGCTCAGTGGATAGAGCATCGGCCTGCGGACTGGAGGGTCCCAGGTTCAATTCCGGTCAAGGGCATGTACCTGGGTTGCGGGCACATCCCCAGTGGGAGATCTGCAGGAGGCAGCTGGTCGATGTTTCTCTCTCATTGATGTTTCTAACTCTCTATCTCTCTCCCTTCCTCTCTGTAAAAAATCAATAAAATATATTTAAAAAAAAAAGATGAGGAACTCCTACTTTTGGTTGTTGGTGGCCAGTGTGAGGTCCATGTTTCCCGATTTTTATGCGTGGCATCTGTGGAATGATGGAGGGAAGAAAGGGCAAACATGGAGTTGAGTCCGTAGGTCTGGCCTCAGGCAAGTAATTGACTTTGCAGAAGGAACTTGGAGGTGAGGAGCTGCTATGGAGGGTCTTCTCTGTTGAGACCACAGACCTGGGATTCCCTCCCTTGTTCAGCACACCTGGGCCCAGACAACACAAGATGCTGGTTTCTCGGGGAGACTGTGGGAGCTCAGCAAGAGGATCCACGGAAGCCCTGGGCTTCCGGACACATGTCCAGGGCAAAAGAACGGTGATACACATTCAGGAAACACAGACAAGCCAGGGGACCCCCCACTCAATCATGCCACCTTCTTTTTTTGAATGACATATTTTTCATTTCTCAAGAAATATCGGGTCTGCTTTTAAAATTTCTAATTTTTTTCCAAGATGAAATTTTGTGTGTGTGTTCTTTATTCTTTTTCAAAACCCCCTTCTTACCAAATATGTAACATACCTCAAGGCAGCAAAGAAGAGAACGCATGTGAAGCTGCTGGCCCACAGCCTGGGACGGCTCCGTACTCAGTTTGGCTAACAACGGCAACATCATGACTATTGTTTTTACAAAGTGCTCACCCTGACACCCTCTGGAAATCCTCTCGGGGGAGGGGCCCAAAGGAGAGCCGGCTACATTTGCAAACACTGGGGTGGGGGTGGGGGATGGGTGAAACAACACGGGGAGAAGAATGGAGTAAGAGGGAGACAGATGGTGTGTGTGCTGGGGGGAGGGATCAGAGATCCTGTGAAACTTATGTTCCCCGATTTCCAAGAGTGTTTCTATTTAACCACTTCTTGCCTACTCCGGAGTCGGGGCCACCTGTGCCAAGAGCCTGGACCCTCGGGGTGCGGAGAGCCAGGGGCGTCGGGAGGTAGAGGCAGAGCGGGTCTTGCTTAGCCTGCTGGGGCTCCCGTCTGGGTTTGGGACCCAGGTAAAGGGAGGACTCTCTTTGCCAGACCCGGGCCGCGTAGGGGCGGGCGGCCGGCCGGCT